GTCACTACAGTTTTGTAGTAAGTTCTGAAATCAGGAAGTGTGAGTATTTCAACTTTGTTCTTGAATTGCAAGATTGTTCTGGCTATTTGTGACCCCTTGAGGTTCCTTGTTAATTCCAGGATGGAATTCTGCCATTTCTTAGCATAACACTTTTCAATGGAGGTCAGCTACCTTTGATATCCAAACTCCTGCCCTTTTACAGGGTCCTTTAAGATATAACACCTGCTTATCACCTCAGCTTCATCTCTAGACTGGCTCCAACCCCTTTAACCTACTCATCAACCTCTCAGAAACGTTTTCACTTCTTCCATTAGTTATGCTCTCTTGTCTCAGGCCTTTGTATGTGATCTGCTTTTTGCCCGACATTCTTTGCCTGGCACTTCTTCTTCCTTCAGATTTCAGCTTCCACATCCCTTCCACACCCTCCGTGAGAAAATTATTTGGTGCTTTACGTTCTCCCTGAGGACTGCCATTCCTAGTACCGTCTCCACCTCATGGAAGTGCTTGCTTGGACACCCCACTAGCCTGTGGCGAAAGGATTACGTCTTGGTCACATTTGTGCTTAGCACACCGCTTTTCGTGTAGTAAACCATCTGCGAATGTTGGTTTCAAGAATTGTTGGAAGACTGCTTTACTGGTATTCTTCGAAAGAATAGTTTTCTAGAGTGTGGGAAGAGTCAGCAGAACAGGGGTTAGAAGCACATGAATAATAAAAGAAAGGTGTTTACTGGATCCGGGCTTTGCACGCTTTGTTCGCATTATTCCACTTGCCCATGTTAGCAATGAAATTTGAAATCATTTCATACCAGTGGTTCTCTGAGACCTCCGAGGGGTTAAAGCAGCGGTCCCAAGCACCCAGCTCAGTTAGAAGGAGGGTGCGGAAGTGTGAGGATCTATTTCGGTAATCAGAGGATATTGGAGGAGACCCACCCCAGTGTCTCTGGTTGTTCAAAGCACACCTTGGACCCCACCACACGAGCAGAGGCGCCCCGGAAAACTCCCGTCGCGGGAGCGCGCGCCAGCTTCCGGGTTCAGTCCCAGAAGCCACAGATGACCGGAAATGGAACCTGCGCGGGCCTGTTGCTAAGCAACAAATGCTGCCGGGACGCTAGACGGCCCCGGCGCGGTGGGAGCTGAGACCGCCGGAGGTCCCGGGACGTCGCCTCTATCTTTCTAGGGCTTCTGAGGACAGGAGCGATCCAGACGCGCCGGTGAGGCCAGCGCGTCCTCGCAGCTATGAGCAGCGAGCAGGTGAGAGGGCTACTCTTCTCCAGGCTCGCCGTCTCCGCGACGCTTCCCAGGCTTTTCAGAAGTGGTGGAATCCCCTCCTGCCCACCGAACTCCCCAGCTGGTACTCCGCGGTGTACAGCTTCTTTGACCCACTTATGGCCTGGGCTACTGAGCGCTTTCCGGAAATGCCCTTGTACGGTCCCTTCCCAGCTGTTCGCCCTTGGTCGTCATAGCAACCAAACCTAGCAGTCCAGCGGCGCGCCAGCAGGGGGAGCCACAGCCCAGAACACCCCATAGTGCTACCGGGGGTGTGCTTGGGTGAGAGGCGGCTCTGCGGGCAGTTGCCGCGGGTTTGAGTTCTAGGGTGGGAATCCAAGCCAATTCCTAGCCGTGTGACTTTGGGCAAATCTCCTCCTTGTTTTTCTAAGCCTTAGTTCTCCCACCTCTTATGCAGAGCGGGGGAGGCACCAGAACAACTTTTCTTCTTTCTGAGGTTGTTGCCAAGTTCAAATAAGATACCATCCCATACCATAACTATACAGTATTACACTGTACGTGAAAGACCTTGGTAAGTGACAAATGGCACTTCCTAAGGTGATATTCCATGGCATGTAATAAAAGATGCACGTTGCAATAGCTGCTTTTCTTTCTTTCTTTTCTTTCCTTTCTCTCTTTCTTTCTTTCTTCTTTCTTTCTTTCTTTCTTTCTTTCTTTCTTTCTTTCTTTCTTTCTTTCTTTCTTTCTTTCTTTTTCTTTTCTTTCTTTCTTTTTCTTTCTTTCTTTCTTCTTTCTTTCTTTCTCTTTTGTTTTCTTTCTTCTTTCTCTCCTTTTTTTTCTTCTAAGAATTCTTTCTTTATTGAACTTAAGAGCAACTATAGTAGAAAAGAAATGCAGAATAATGGCCAATCGTCTTAATATCAGCACAGAATGAGGAGATATTAAGCATGGGCATTATTCTGGCCAGGTAGAAAACAACTCTAGTTTTCTACATACTGTTGAATAATAATGATAAAAAGAACTTTATAAACCCTTTGGAAGAAAAACAGTTGTTTATAAGTATGCAAATTTCATTTAGCTTTTAAAAAATATTAAACTATAATTTTTTGTATTGCTTTATAATGCTTTTTTCGGTATTGTTAGACTTTTTTGTGGAAACAATATTAGTCTCCTAGTCATTGAGTTATAGCTTCCTAACAGAATAATGTGATGATCCCAATTCATTAATTAATCAAATAAGTAATCAATACCTGAAATGCTCAAGAAAAATTGATTTGAGCCTTTTTTAAAAAAAACATAAGTATAACTTAAGAACTAAGAAATGGACACTTTGATGCATATGCCAAAGTATAAGTAGTATTGATATTAATAGTAAAAGAGTAAATGAGCAAGCAAAAAACAAAAAGAATTCAGATTCAAGTAACCAAAAACACTGAGCAATTGTTTAATAGATCTTACTAGTAATTTTTTTCTATGTGATAGTAACGTAATCAGATTTTTAAAATAATATTTGTTATCATCATTATTATATATTGAGCAGCGTCTTTGTTTCATGCCCAGATTAGTCTTTGGCCAGATCTTGAACCATATCCTACATTGTTAGAGTTTAAAATATACTTCTATCACATTTTCAATAGTATTTCTGAATAGCTGTTTTTCACAATTCCCCTAACTTACCCATCTACAACTAAAAGTATCCACTAAAAACCCACCAGCCGTTAAGTTCTAAATTTTGCTTCATCTTTATAAAAGTGATGTTGGAAAATGACACCGTAGTCTCTCACTCCCCCTCCAGAAAGGTTGTGATTTATTGGAGAGGCAATGGGATCTTAAAAGAATGGACATGATACTATTTCAGATGTGTATTGGTTGTCTTGTAAATACAAAGAGTTCAGTTGTAAATAAACTATTGTGGCTGAAAAAAAAAAAGAATGGACGTGATTTCCATTTTACACTTACTATTTTTGAACAGCAGAGGGCCCTCTATCACTGTTTTGGTTGATTCATAATTTTAAAAACTAATCTCGAGATTTTCATTTATGCTCATTTAGAGTGTAGTTTTCCTTTGGAAGGATGAAAGTTTTTATATTTTAACTTAAGACAAACAGAATGGATTAAACTTTTGGAAATGCCATTTTTTATGTGACATTTACTTGTATATTCATTCAGTTTGAGAAAGCGAGCAGGTGGTAAAATCATATTTGCTGAAGGAGATTTTAACATATTCATCTCATTCATGGAAGGTTGAGAGTGACATCAAATTTTTCAGGAGTAGCAGTCTGGGCTTTTCTCTTAAATTAGATATTTAGAAGAAATATAAATCCTTTTGCATTGCTCATTTCATTTTTGAAACTAATTAAAACTTCAAGGCATTTTTAGTGTAGGCTGAAGAACTTTCAGAGGTTTAAAGGTGCAAATATCTAAAGACCAGGAAGCTCCCCATGGAGATAGTACAGACTGTGGCAGAGAAGAGGAAAAAGCCATGCATCTTTTTCTACCTCAGCACTTTTTCTAGTTATGTAATCAAGTAGTTTGTGTTTATATGATGTGATGCTCATTCTGTTTTCATCATATTTTTAAAATGTCATTGCTTAAAAAGGGGAAAGAGTGAAAAAAGTTGGATATGAAGCCAACAGCATGGTGATAACTTTAATAACCATAACTCAAACGTGTGACAACTGACAACTATATTTAAATCAGTACTACTAAATTTTGAGAGGTTATTGTTGATTTAACCAGACACATATATAGATTCTAGTCATTTGATCAGGATGGTTAATACTAGGCTATACTAGGTTTATGACATCTCTTCCAGGAATCAAGTAGGTGAAAATCAGGAAAGTAAAAACAAAATGCAAAGCCAGACTATTTAAGACAGACCTAGACTCTTTAGCAATTTTAATTTTAGAATGTAGAATTATATTAGGATCCCAACAGAAAACAGATGGCATACTCAAAAGGATTTCACTGAAGAACATTTATAAAAAGACCATTTGTAGAGGTGTTGGTAAGGTTAAAGGAACCATGAGGGATGAAGAGACACTCAAGGATTAACAGTAGTAGGACAGTAGGATGCCATTTCCATGGCTAGGCCTGTCGGGTCATTGAAACAGAATATTATTCTCAGACCCCGATAAGTGCTAGATGCTTGGAATGGTAGCTTCCTGACAGGAGCTGAGGTCTGGAAGAATTTAGCCACTATCAGAACTACAGGGAACAGGGAAGACTAGGAAACAAATATCCTAAACTCTTTGTCCCCCTGCTCTTTAGTCTCCTCCTGGTGCCTTTCTTTGGTTAATCTCTATCAGAAGCCAGAAGCTGAGGGCCCAGATGATGTCCATCATATAATTCAACCTCCTGGGCACAGAGCAGGAAGAAGAGGGTAAAGACTTGATCTGAGGCAGAGCACAACCATGACAGACATTATTATAAATGCATGCAGTCTTCATAGACAGTTCCCTGTCCCTGCCCATAAATCAGTTGGATAAACAGTTTTTGAGATCCTATCATGAATTTATCATTTAAAATCTTTATATCTAAGAATAAGTCTAAAAAAGAAATAACACCTTTATGAAGAATACTACAAAATGTTTCTGAAGGATATGCTCCCGAATCTGAAGAAGTAAAGAAATATATTGTGTTCTCAAGAGAGAAGAGTCAGTATTCAATGTGTTTCTATCATTGTCCTAAAAAGTTTCATGCAGTATGGATCCCAAATTTCATGTTAGAAAAAATGTTAAGATTGTTTATGATAATTTTTAAGAATGGTAAAGTGGAGGGAATTGCTCTACAGATTCCAAGACTTATCAGGAATCATAGTAAGTTAGGCAATATAATAAATTTTTTTTTACAGATAACAAATAATCCAATGGAATTAAAGAGACAAAAAAATGCATATATATGTATATATGTTATATATACACACACATATATGTGTGTATGTATGAGATACATGCCTAAGAATTGTGTGTGTTTATACTAAAATACATGCCCAAGGACTTTCACTGAGACATCTTTCGTAGTAGAGAAACATTGGTAATAAGTTAAACGTTCATTCACTAGAGAGTGGAATAGATACATTGTACCATGCTCACAGAGTACTATACAGCTGTGAAAATCATTGAGAAAGGTATATTAATGGGGATAAATTTCAAAAACATAATATTAAAAAATAGGTTGCAAAAGGATACAGACGCTGTGATGGCATTTCTATAAAATGTAAAATCATGCAGTAACAATATATATCTTAGGTTATTTGGTAATCATATGTAGTAATAAGAAGTGTAGTAAAAATTTGTATAGGAATGATAAACACAAAATTCCAGAATGGCAGAGTTGGATTGAAGATATACAAGTGTTCATGATGCTATTTTCTGTATGTTTGAAATATTTCCTAATTTTAAAGAGAACGAGACATGAGTAAATATAGAGTGCACAGACAATCTTGGTCAAGGAAACAGATGAATTAATTGTGTAACAATTGGAGTGAAAAGCACCATTGGAGAAGGTTTTTCTTTTCTTTTTGAAAATAAACATTCTTCGAGCTTCCAGACAGCTGAACGGAAAACCTGAGTCCAGAGTCCTGGCAGCCAAACCCAAGCTCTACTACTTTTACGGCAGGCGCAGGATGGAGTCAGTCTGCTGGCGGCTGGTTGCAGCTGCAATGGAGTTTGAAGAAGAGGTTTTTTGAAATGAGAGAATAATACGAAAAGTTGCAGAAGGATGATGCTTACGTTTTGGCCAAGTGCCTTTGGTTGAAACTGATGGAATGATGCTGACACTCACTAGAGCCATCCTCACCTCAGCTACCTTGCTGCTAAGTACAGTGTCTATGGGAAGGACCTGAAGGGGAGAGTGAGGATCAACATGTGTGCTGATGGCACCCTGGACCTGATGATGATGATGGCGCTGGCCCCTGAGGAAAAAGAGGAGAACCTTGCTTCAGTCATGATGAAAGCTGACACCTGGTACTTGCCCATCTTTGGAAAGATTTTGGAAGACCATGGAGCGGGTTTTCTCATTGGCAACAAATTCAGCTGGGCAGGCATACAACTGTTAGAAGCTGTTTTAATGGTAGAAGAACTCAAGCTTCTGTTCATTCTGACTTCCCTCTGCTGAAGGCATTTAAAACAGGAATCAGCAACATCCCCACAATTAAGAAGTTCCTTCAACCTGGGAGTCAGAGGAAGCTGTTCTGACATCCGATATGTTGATCTAGTTAGAAACATTCTACAGTTCTAGTGGCAGCAGGTCACATGGTGGCAAGAATTAATGATCCAATCACAGTATCAGCACATGCTGTCTGTAGTGGATAACAGAAGCAAACTGTAGATTGTAGGAGGAAAGTGTCAGAAAAGAACCAAACTGGCCAGGCACGGTGGCTCACGCCTGTAATCCCAACACTTTGGGAGGCCGAGGCAGGTGGATC